GAACGCTGATCTGCCTTCGCGCTGCGCCGACAGGTGTCGGTAGCCGAGACAAATGAACAGCCGTTCCTTTGCCTCCATACCCAACGGACGTGGGCCCTGCGTGACGATTGTTTTTTTCCCCAGCACTGGGCAGGCCGAATCAGCAATACAGGCAGACGCCTCGCAAAATAACACAGATCGACAGCGCCCCCAGCTGGCGGCGGCGCCCTGGGGCACTGAAAAGTGTCTCACGTCGAGTGATTAAAGCGGGCACTTCCCACTCACTTAACCCTGGTACAAGTGGATACTTATCAACCAGTTAGCCCGGTACAAGCGTACGTTCCCCAGCGCCGCTCCTCCTCCCAAAGATATCTCGCCATCCGCGCTGAATGGCAAGAGTGCATCACGACACCTCTCCGCGCCACGCTTCGCGCCAATGGCTCCTCCGTTCAGACGATGGCCAGCACAAGCGACACCAACTGGGCCGGCAGCCGGGTGTGACGAAAATGGCGGCCGTGTGTTTGAACAGGGTCCTGGCCGTGCCGCACCGCCGCGGCAAGCTTATGAGCCGAGTGCATTGATGTCGGACAAGCTACACGGCGGCCCGCGCCGTGATAAGCACGTCTAATGACTGGTAATACACGGGTGCATGGCGCACCGACCGTATGGCTTCGGCCCTCCGCAACGTCCGACGGTCGACCGAAATGTATGGGCACAGTCGGACCGTTAGCTCCTTTATTTCACGACACTGTTACTGCGATGTTTGCGCAAAGGCAGTGGCAACAGTTTCACGGCATTGCCAAGTGCGCGCGGGCGCCCCTAAGCGCAAGCCACACAGGGCAGACTGAGCGCTTCCCAGCGTCCAAAACGGCCCGTCACTTGATTCAACACCGACAAACTGCCGCTGCAAAGTCCTCAAAGCGATACAAGTGGACGCACTCCTTTCGGCCGCACGCCGACAAACATCGCCTGCAGTTCGTGCTCTGTTCGGAGGCCCGAGGGCGTGAAGGGGAGGGAGAAGGGGGGGAGGGAGGGGGGGGGGGCATGTGATACCATCTAGCGCCATTATGCACCGCGAAGGAATTCGGGCTAAATGAGCACGCCGGCGGACGGCACACGGGCCAGGCGCGTGCGCCTTTTAATTGGTTAAACAGCCGGCCAAGGCCACGGGGCGTGCTGGACCGTGCCGTCACCGCCGGCCGGGCGACCGGCACGACAGAGGTCATGTCAGCCCGACGCTCCGGTGGGCAACACTCGGTCAAAGGGGCATGCTGCTGTGGGCAACACCATGTCACCTCAGGCAGCTGCAGTGGGCACGCATTGGCTGACACCAGCAAGCCATGCCAGCTCAACGCCCATGTGGAAAACGGCGCGACGCGGCCGTGTCCGGAGTTTGAAACGTCCGTCCGTTGCTACACTGGCCGGAGTGGTTAAATACACATGCCATATCTGCGTGTTTAAAGCATCGGCAGTAGGTGATGGCCTAACGGTACCGCGTTTGCGGGGAGGCGACATATTCAGCTGAGGCCAGTCTCGGCACACCAGTCGGTCTCGGCACACCAATCGGTGCCGGCCACCCACTAAACAGTCCCAGGCACTCAAATGCACCCGCTTCGCCACGTTCCCTTTGATGACATCCGTGCCGGGGAACAAGGCACGCACCGCGACGCACCGCTCCCAAAATGTGCGTCATTAGACTAGCCAAGGACGAAGGCGTCGCCCATTTTCAAAAGTCGAACGTGCGGAGACCGCGAGCGTGGATATCCGACGTGCAGAGCTCTCCAAAAAACCTCGCCGACGTGTGTCCGCGGGCACGATCAAATGCGTGTGATCTTGAGGCGTGGCACAGCGTAATACACCCGGATAGGCGCCGTAACCCGCCGGGCACGACCCAGGGCCTTATCAGGAGCGATTGCGTGCAGAACGCGCTGTTTGTCTGCCGGGTCCAGCTCAACGGGCTGCATCGTTCGCGTCTGACGGCATGCTGTACGATCGGTCTTTCACTAGCTTCAGCCCCGAGCTGAATTAAACGCATAAAACGGGGCGCGCATCGGCGGGGCGACAATGGCGATCTCTGAGACTGACTTCCACAAATGACCGACAGCTCGGTGGCTTCAGAGAGGTGGCTTCAGTCTCCACGGCCTCTACAGGCAGGGCCCATAGTGGTACAAACTCAATGGCTTCTCAATGGCTACAAACGCAATGGCACACTGCGCGCTTGTCAACTGACACTCAGGGGCTTACGAAGAACATAAGACGTCTGGCATCAGTGGCTGCCTTTGAAAAGCACGAGCTACATTCACCTCACTCTCTTCGCACTCACCCGCTCTTTCTCTCACTCCCTATGAACGGCATGCGAATGCGAAGCAGCAACACAGCACGCACCACCTGGCTGGCTGGTCCCGCATGAGGTGCAAACGAATCCAGCGCAAATTAGCCTAACTTGGATCGCACCTCTCCCCACACGTGCAGCCATTGGCGGGCCGCTGCCACCTGGCGGCGGGGCTGGCTCCGGCCCCAGCGAGCCGTCCCGGGCCGTGTGACGGAGGCGCCGAGAGCTGGCACCACAGCGGGGATTGAAATGGCGGGCGGGTGTTCGGCGCAGGGCGGCAGGCGGCGGTACGGCACAGCAACCCGGCCGGGCCACACGCCACCCGCCGGTACCCCTGCGCCCTTGCGTCCCTGTAGCTCTGTGCCTCTGCGCCCCTGCGCCCTCTTAACCCCCACCCCTCATCCCCCCCCCAACTCACCCCCTCAAACCCTCATTCCCTGCCCCCCGGTCCCTGCCCCCTGCCCCCCGGCCCCTGGCCCCCTGGCATCTGGCCCCTTGACCACTCGCCTCTCGCCTTTCGGCCCTCTGGCTCTCGCCCCCCTCGCCCCTCGCCCCTCACCCCTCGCCCCCTCCACCTCTCACCCCTCGCCCCCGCCGCCGGCCACCTGTGCCGCAACGCCGATCATTGGACAGCCGCGCACGCGCACATGCGCACACCTCCACCCACACCTGGACACACTGTGCGCACGCTAGCACACACGCCCACGTCCGGAGTGACAAAAAGCAGGCCGGACCAGGCGGCACCACCTCTGACGTGATCAGGTGGTGCAGCCAAGGGGTGGCGGCTGGCATAGGGATTTTAGCCCATGCCTAGATTTTAGATATTTTAGAAAAACGGATTTTTTCATTGACGTTCACTAAAGGAGGGCCAGTTACCACTAGCCTTACTCTGGCATGTCCTAAGGGGTTCTCCTAATGGATCCAGCTTCGAATTTCAGAGCCGTTCCGGAAAAAAATATCTTGCATGAAAACGGAGAAAACGCAAAATGTATGAGTTTTTGGCGACTTAGGTCGGTGATCATCTCATTGGTTCTCTTCGGATCTACCACCCTGTACAAAGGCGAGATGGCGACCCCCCCCCCCCCCCCCCCCCAACGGAGCCATGAACGCGTGCAACCAAAAGAGACGCCTGTGTTCTCCACTTCGTTCCACTTGGGCCTGGCTTAGCCGCCATCCAAATGGCCCCAGATACCTGGGGGCCTGGCGACCACAAATAATCGACGAGCGAGAACTCAACATAATTCCGGCTCCAAAATTTTCCGCTAGATTTCATGCATTTTGAGAGTTCCACCGTCGAGCTGTTCGAATTACTACGAGCACTACTTTTGTGGTGTTGATTACCAGAAATAATCACAACGCACGTGACTTTAAAGCTCTTGTTCTCCCCAGGTTTGCCGGTTTTATCATCGCCTTCACCAGTTCCTCCCTACCTGGAATCCCGGCCTTAGAGATCCTTGATCCGGACAGAACCCTGTCTTGTCCGGACAGAACCCTGTCTTGTCCGGACAAAAGCCCGACACACCACACGTCTCGATAAGTCCTCAAAAGTCCGCCCGGAGGCCCACAGCGGTCGGCGGTTCCGTGAGTTGATGCGAACCCCGCACCGTCTCTCCCCCGCCCCCCCGCCCCCCGTCCCCCGCCCCCGTCCCCCGTCCCCCGCCCTCCGCCCTCTACCCGCCCCGGCGGCTGTGCATATGATTGCATTGCACGGTCATTTGCGGCGTTATGCCTTCAGACCACCGTTCACAAAATGGCGGCCCGCCGGGCGGCCGGCTCTGATCTCCATAATAGCGCAGCGCGCGAAATTCGCGCACCCTGGTCACGCGGATGCCAAGTGTGCGTCGGCTTGTTTGAGCGCAGCCGAGTCAAACGGGCGGCGCGTGAAGGCGTCAGCTAGCCAGCCCCTCCACGGTTCAGCTCTGCGCCATTTCACCACATGCGGCAAGAGCTCGCGTGACATGTCCGTGGACAATGGACGTCCTGCCATGTGGGGCTGCTATCTTACCAGCTCTTCCTTGCACTCGCCATTATCTCGACTGATATGAGCCGAGACCCATAATGGCACACGGAAAGTGAATCGGCTCACGCTCGATTCATGCAAACGCACACGTGCGCGATCCCAGCTCGTGAGTCGTGCCAGCCGGACATGAGGAACGGAATGAGAAAAACCAAGAGGTCATTCCTCATTTTCAACTGAATGGTTCCTGTGCAACACACTAGGGTTAAAGCTTTAAGCTTCACAGAGAGCGGGGATCGTTGCTCCTCTCACCCCCCCCCCCCCCCCCCCCCCTGTATCTAGATTTCCGATTTGCCATGCCATCGACGATAACCATGCCGGTTTTAGAAACACAAACAGTATTGTAACTGTCGAGCTTGGTGCAGTTCAATACAGCGCAGCCAGGTTAAACTATCCTTAAAGAAGAATAGGTACATCTGTTCATCCGGGAAAGTGTCCACTAATCGTACTTGGAAGGCTTGTCCCAAAGTCCGTTATCGTCTTCATTCGCTAATCCCCTACATTGGAGACAGGCGTAAGGGACACAAATGAAGACATTCAGAAATGTCCCGGAAGCTGCTCCCAGTGGGAGCCTGTTCCCGGGACGCGTGCCGTTCGTCAGCCCCGCAGCACTGAGCGCTGCGTCCCCGACCAGTACGGGACGGGACGGGAAAACTGCCGGAGGCCACTGACCTGCTCTGATCGGAGGTCGCGCTCCCTCGCCAGCAGCGCTCCGTCCTGAAACACAGACAGACGTCACAAGCTGCCACCAGCTTTACACGGATCTGCATCTGGCACCCCAGTGGAGCGCGCGCAGCCATAGACCGCGGAGAATGCTGACAACAAATGACAGACTCGCCAACAAGTGACAGACTCGCCTAAACGGGCCCTTTTCCATGATGTATTGTTGAAGGCATTGCAATTGCAATGGAACGCGTCGAAGCCACTGACACAGCTGCAGCCCACTTCATCAACCAATGCAGCAATATTTTGATACAACTGAATAGCTCTGATCGAGACAGCGGCGTGAGCGCATAGTAGCTTTCCGGGGTTCGTATCCCACCCCCACCCCCCTTAACAAATGCATGGAAGGTTTAGACATGTATGTGACTAAAGGGTGACAGTCTGAAATTTCAGGTAGACACGTAAAAATAGCATATCGCGAGCAAGTCATATTGTTTTACGACACCCCAGAAATTACGCGCGCCTACGTCGCGCCAAATTCGCTTTTTATTTTGATTAGTTGTGCCCGATCTCCGGGACGAATCCTGTGCACACCCCTGCCGAGCGGTGCCCGCCTCAGGTGACCAGGAAGCTCGACCACTTTCGCGAGTAACATAGACGTGTAGCACATCAGGTCACAACTGTGCCGGGACGACCCCTCCGCCACTCCAAAGCGCAGCCGCACCGCCTCGGCCAGCTGATCACGGAGCACTGCACGACGTGCGGTGTCGTGTGTGCACTGTGCGATGTCCATTGTCCATTGTGCACCGCTATCTGGGGCTGGCCAACGACGTCATCACACGTTTTCCGCGTACCTATAACCATGCCGGACATGCATTCCCCATTATCATATATGAAGCCTGCACATGCCTGCGAAAGGCTACTGCATGCGGCAAGTACGGCATTCAATATTTAGGGTCGTCCTTGGACCAGGTCTGCGCCAGAACGCGATTGGTTAATGTCATGTGAGGTGAGCGCAAGTCATTTTCTGTCCCTCTGCGCCTGGTCCTCCGTCAGCCAGCGCTCTCACTCCGTCGCCCAGTGCACTCACTCCGTCAGCCAGCGTTCTCACTAGATCGGCCAGTGTTCTCACTCCATCAGCCAGCGTTCTCACTCGACCGGTCAGTGTTCTCACTCCGTCGGCCAGTGTTCTAACTCCGTTTCCCAGTGCCCACACTCGATCGGCCATCGTTCTCACTCCGTCAGCCAGTGTTCTCACTCTGTCGGCCAGTCTATAATCGCACACAAAGATGCAAAGACGACCTGGTTCTCGCCTTGGCTCCGCCGCTGTTATGCTGTCTGGCCCGGCCAGCGCCGCCAGCTCAGCGCCGCCAGCACAGCGCCGGCAGCACGTCAGCCATGTCAGCGGTGTGGGCTTGGTGCAGTCCGCCAGCAGTGCGGCCTCACTGCACTGCGTGAGCGCTGAGAGTTCCGCGGACTTCACAACCCCCGTGAAATCCGCGAACTCTGTGGGGTTTGCGTGAGCGGGCGTAGGACCGTCCGCAAAGTAGGCGGCCGAAGTCCTTTCCGAGTTCATGTTTGTATGCATCGGCATGGCAAAGGAAGGAAGTACCGTGGGGCGCGACGGGAAGAGGGCAGGCACCATGCTGGGGAAGAGGGCAGCTTCGTCTAACCTCTATCTTGCTGCGTCCTTTCCTGTGCGACATACAATTAGCCTGCCTCGGATGACGTGCGGTGGTAGATCCCCGGCATCTGCCGCCGCCGACGCGTAGATCCCAGCAGCAGCCGACGCGCCGGCGGTGGATCGGCGCCGGTGACGGATCCAGTGTCGGCGCCGACGCTGGATCCCAGCGCCCGTCGCTGTCGACGGCCGCCGGAGCGTGAGCCGCAGGCGTCCGGGCGCCGGACGAGGCTCGGAGCTCAGAGACGCGCCCCCGGCCGGAGAGCGCGGGCAGCGCTGACGCCTCAGGCGACAAGCCAGCTCGACACCACGGCGCCCCGCGTGCTGATACGGGCCCGGGCAAGGGCGAGGCCAGGCCGGTTACATGGGGATGTCCGCAGGGGCGAGGCTAGGCCTTGAAACTACGCCGGCGAGGAAAGGTAGACGACGCCGGTCGCGTGAGCGGCCGCAGCCGGCGGGCTGGCGGCCTCCCCAGACAGCCGGCTGGCTCCGCCCTTGCAGGGCCGCCCCGGGCGTCTGCCTGGGCGCGCCGCCGCACCGCCGCCCATTGTTCCCCTGCGCGCGTCGCCGGCCGACTTCAGATCCAATCACTCGCCCATAATACTCGGTAATTGCAACAGAGCCCGGCGCCGCCGAGTCCGCTTCAGAGCAAGCCGCGCCGGCCGTCGACAGCGCCTGTCCGATTACCGAGTGACACCGGCGCCGTCGGCCGGCGCGCTGGCGGCGGGAGGGAGAATCCGAGCGCGGGCGAACCACCCAGCGGCGGCGCGTCCGTGTCCGATTAGCGAGTGACGCCGGTACAATCAGCGGCGCAGGGGCCGGCGGCAGGGGGAGGCAGAAGGTGGATAAACAAGCAGGGGTCGGCGGGGCTAGCCGGAGCGTCGGCCCAAGGTGTCGACCCAGGCGTGGCGGAGGTGCGCTCCCAGCCGGCAGCGCCATGCCGTGACGCCGGGGCATGGCGCGGTCGCTGTTCATTGGTGTTTTCGTCAACTACAATGGTCTACTCGTGCCCTAACATGGCGCGGTGCCACGTGCTTCTGGTAGGAGACGGCAACGTGGCCACAGTGGCGGCACCTGGTCCCCGGGCCATCCACGTCAACAGAGACCAAGAGGCCGTGTGGACCGCCCATCTACAGCGAGTGGAACGTCAGACCATCCTTGTGCACAGATCAGTCGTAGTGAGCGAGGAAGGGACCTCTGCACCGGGAAGCGATGGCCAGCCATGTCACGGGCAGCGGCGCCATGTCACGAGCAGAGGGAGCCATAGCGCCCTTCCCCCTCTGTTCGTGAAGGTTTAAAATCACGTGCAAAATGCGGTGGCACATGGAAATGCTGGCTTCTAAATGCGGCTTGCGCCCCCCTCCCCCCCCCCCCCCACGCCTTTGACGCAGCCTCAACTCTCGGAGACTAAGTCCCAATCAGTGAAACCAGGGAAGATGCTGACACCATGCCAAATGGCAACAGCCGCAAACAAGCCGTCTCATCATTTCGAGGGAGACGCCATGTCATGGGCCACGGCTCCCACAGCCGGAAGGCGCGGTGCAACGATCTTCCAACCTTCGGAACCGGGCCTACGCCTGTTGTTTTCAGCCTCAAAGGTCCCCAATCGATCCATCACAGGGAGAGCCGCGTCTGGGGAGCGTCTTGTCCCCGACAGCCGACAAGAAACCTCCTGGCCGTGACAATGCGGTACGCGCTCCTCCGCGTCTCCCCTCTCGGCCAGCCCATCACCAATGGCCGCCACGTGTTCAGCTGCCCTTTTTAAGCCAGGCTACCGCACATCGGAATGGACCCATACTGTTCGCGACCGCAGCCGCGCTCCAGGCACAGGAGGCTGGCAACATGGACCCATACTGTTCGCGACCGCAGCCGCGCTCCAGGCACAGGAGGCTGGCAACATGGACCCATACTGTTCGCGACGGCAGCCGCGCTCCAGGCACAGGAGGCTGGCAACATGGACCCATACTGTTCGTGACCGCAGCCGCGCTCCAAGCACAGGAGGCTGGCAACATGGACCCATACTGTTCGCGACAGGAGCCGCGCTCCAGGCACAGGAGGCTGGCAACATGGACCCATACTGTTCGCGACTGCAGCCGCGCTCTAGGCACAGGAGGCTGGCAAAATGCACCCGTTCTTGTCTCCTCCTCTTTGTCCTGCACCCCGTCTTTTCACGCGACCTACTATCTGCACCGCTCTTGCGCGTACAGGAACTGTATCCGCCGAAATCTAACTTCTGGGCTAAACACAGGCAAAGCCGCGGCATTTCTTGACTCCTTTCGTCTGCTTAATCCTTTGTCCCGCAAAGCGCTCCCTCTCCAAACTCGATTCATTCCGCCAGGCGTCAGCTTTGATATACGTCCAACAACAGACGAGTGCGCCACTAGAACTACGTTACGGCAGCGTTACGCAGCGTTATGGCCGCATCGTTACAACAGCGGCGACTCAGCGTCACGACAGGGTCATCTATAAAAAAAACACAAAATCGGCATCATGCCGTTGTTCTGTGATTTTGGTGTTGCAAAGGCTGCTAATAACCTTCGTCCTTGAACGCTCTCGTTCTGTCAGGACGTGTCTTCGTCCTTGAACGTTCTGTCAGGACGTGTCTTCGCCATTGAACGTTCTGTCAGGACGTGTCTTCGTCCACGTCCCATGGCGGCTTTAGCCGCCGAAAATAGGTCGTATTCTTGTGGTTTTAAACTGATAGCTAGCTGGCCACACCACTTCAAACCTGCCTCCGCCAAAAAACGAATTAACAAGCGTTGGAAAATGTCATTGGACATCGAGGTGCGGTATTCATCACAAGGCACAAGTTGTGTCTGAAAAATCACATGGAAGGGATGAACAGGGTACTATATGTCTCGGAGAGACACTTAAGTGAAATAAGAATACGACCCTCCTCGGGAGTCATGTCTTGAAGGGAGCACAGCTGTGACCTCAGTCTGGATGTGAACGTGCTCATGCGCACTGCGAAGGAATAAAGAGGGGAGGGTTCATGTCCGCGCAGAGGATCTGGTGCTGAGCTGTTAGTGCTAGCATCCTGAAGCCTGCGACTCCATCGCCCCCCCCCCCCCCCCGGGCATGAACTGCGTGCGTTCCCGCCAGCTACGCAGCACAAATGTCATGACAAAAGGTACACACCAGACGCTGGAAGCTTCGCCCCCACGGCACATACTCAGCCGTACTCACGAGGCGCCCGACGACACGCACGCTGCTACATCGGCGACGCACGCGCGCACGCACTGCGGGCCGGTGGCGGGGACACCTCACCCTCAGCGTGAATTATTGGTGCCGGTCGACTAGGCGCCTGCCGCGTGCAGGAAGCCGTGGGCGCCGACCCATCGGCCATAGATCTTGCCCGGGCCGCCGCACTCGT